ATTTCGAGATGGAGCATATGATAATAAATAACTTACAGAAATTATGGAGAGGTACAATAATTGTAGTTGATGGTGGTCTTATAAATATTTGAAATGTTGCAAATAATTAGAAAATTAAACGAGACTTACCTGAAGTCGAAGTTTGATTGAAATTCTATGAGTTACTGTTCAGGAACTAGGAAGTCACCCACCCAACTACTAACTTACTTCTTTTCAAATGATGTTAAATACTACTTGCCTCCCAATATCTATGTGGACGTTCGCAAATTTTTAAAAACTGATCTTGATATCGCGCGCTCTATCTCACATGATTTCCTAGTTCCTGAACAGTAACTCATAGAATTTCAATCAAACTTCGACTTCCGGTAAGTCTCGTTTAATTTTCTTATTTAATTTCGTCACTGTTCTACGTCACTAGGAAGTCATTTGAGATTTTAAAGCAATGTGGACATGAACAATAAGTAATAACAAAACAATATAATTGAAATTTCACATTTCATGTCTCACAAATGGCAGAAAGTAGATCATTGCCAAAGTTCTTCGCCTCAATTGGTTTATTATAAAATGTTTGAAAAGTTTGTTCATTACGCCATGTAGCTGCATTCATAATAGTGTCCATAGAAATATTCAATGCGTTTGCCGCAGAAGTTGATGCAGTTCTAGTACTGTGTGCATTGTAAACCTCAGTATTTATACCAGCATCCTTTAACACGTATTTTAACCATCGGGAAATGGTCGCTGAAGTGACCGAATGATAAGGTTTTTTAAAAGCTCAATAGGAGTTGTCTTGCACCATTTCGTATGGGTGCAGTAACATTTAGATAACGAGATAAGTAGTTAAATACACATAACCCAGGCTCTGGTGGATAAGCCCGAAATTCTAAAGGAGCAGTATGCTTACCAGGCTTAGATGTTTTGAGCAGTTGGTGCACATGAAAAACTATTCGATCTTCTTTCTTCTCCATATGAGAAATATCCAATGCATGAAGTGTTTGGCATCGTTGGCCAGATAATAAAGCTAAAAGCATTACTGTTTTTAGTGTTACTGATTTCAAACTGAGATCTTTCGGAGGGTGGAGATTTCGAAGATGTTTGAATACCACTGAAATGTCCCAGACCATGGCATATCTAGGAAGAGCTGGTCTTGCAACAAATACACCTTTAACAAACCTAGCAACGAGTGGATGTGTACCAAACGAGATGCCACTTGGTAGCATGAGGATAGTAGATAAGGCGCTCCTTGCAGTATTAATACCGCTGTAGGATAAACCTTCCTGGTATAATTTTGTAAGAAAATTAATGCCCTCCTCTACAGAGGACGCGACAGGATCGATATTGTTTGCATTGCAATATTGTCGCCAACGGTTAAGGTATGTAGAATATTGCTTCTTGGTACCGGTCCGCCAAGACTGCTGGATGATTTGAGAAGCCTCTGCTGAAATGCCTCTATCAGAGAGGATTTCCCCGATAAATAGCAAATTAGTAGCTCCAGTTTCGTATGGAGAGGGTGGATTTGATTCGGTTGAGCTGGAAGAGTTAAAGTCATTCTTCCTCTAGAACTTAGAGTCTAGGTAAAACAACAGGATGTGCTATTAGCATCTGCATTAAAGCTGGCCACCAACTTTATTCAGTGTTGGCCAGTTAGGGACTAAGAGTAGTCCTTGTGCTTTTATCTTGTACTAATTTTGTAACACTTGCGAATTTATGCTAAAAGGCGGGAACGCATAAAATGTATGATTGGCCCACGATATCGTAAAGGCGTTGACAGCTATAGCATACGGGTCAGGTTGGTATGAAACATAGGGTTTCACTTGATTATTCAACCTTGACGCAAACAAATCAATGTTCGGAGTTACGTCTAGTTTTTAAATGGCACACGTAAACAGAGTCTTGTACAACTGCCATTCTGTTTCTTTGCGTGATATTCAAGATTCTCGATCCGCAGTGACATTTTGTAATCCTGGAATGTGCGCTGCTGTCAACCAAGTATCATACGAAATGCAGCAGGTCCAGACATTGCATGTCAACTTGTGAATAGACCTTGCGTGGCATGTGCCCATTTGATTAATTCAAGCTACAGCGGTAGTATTATCAATTAATACCTTAACATGCTGACCTTTTACTTCTGAAGAAAACGACTCAAGGGCAAACAATACCGCAAGAATTTCCAAATAATTTATATGATTTGAAGCCTCCAAGGGCGTCCAGTTACCCCCAGCACATACACCATTTAGGGAGCAGCCCCACCCTGTCAACGACGCATCTGTTGTTAGGCATATGCTAGGTTCATTGTGAGTAATTTGCCTGTAAGTCGTGCATATTGATGACTGCCACCATCGTAAATCATGTATGGCCTCTGAAGACAGGGTCATTGTCTTGTCAAAATTACCCCGGTTTAAGTTAAGGGCATCGCTTTTATCCATTTCCAGCCAGCAATAATGCAACTGACCGTACATTACGCCCGGGAGACAAAAGTTAGAGTGCCCAAAACCCGAGAAACATCCCTTATTTTGGGTGAGAAGCTTGTAGCAGCTCATAACACATGCGTTTTATCTTCTCAGCTCGTTCCGTCGTCACAGATATTTGCATAAGAACTGAGTTAAGTCGGAAACCCAAAAAGTAATTACTTGAGAGGGAACTAAAACTGACTTATCCGGATGTACGTAAAACCCCACTTCACTAAATAAACAAATGGTATCTCGATTATTCCGAACACAGGAAACATATGTGTCGGATGTCAGCCAAGTATCATCAATAAATCCAACCGAAATATGTCCTTTTTGACGTAAATTTGAAAAAACAGGTTTGAGGAGTTTTGTAAATTTTCGAGGGCAGATGGCTAGGCCGTTTGGAAAACAGACAAATTTATATAGTTGCCCTCTACACCAAAATTTGAGAAATTTTTGTTATGCTGGGTGAATAGGTACGGAATAGTAAGCATCTTTGAGATCGATGGATGCCATGAAACAATTTGATTTCATAAGCCTAATAGCTGACCAAACACACTCCATTTTAAAATGGTCATATCTGACATGCCTGTTTAAGGATTTCAGATTAAGAATCATGCGAAAAGAACCGTCTTTTTTGGAGCAAGTAAAAGTTGGAGATACAAATTCCCCTGATTCGGGGTGAAAAATCTGCAAAACGCCTTTTTTGCGTAATTTGTTTATTTCTAAATCAATATTGTTCATTTCAACCTCGGGTAGCTGTATTTGCTTGGGTAAAGCTCTTTGAATCGGAATTGTGTCAAATTCAATTTTTTGTCCAGACACTGTCTCTAAGATTTCCTTATCAGAGGTGAGTGTTTCCTATGCACTTAAAAAATTTGATATGCTGCCAGCCTGATAGGTTTCCAAGCTTTTATTCAAATACGCTATTAGCGTGGGTACAAAAGAGAATACTGGTTTACTTGTAAAGTCTTAAAATTTCTTAAAAATTCAGTGTTTTCTACTTGCGATCGTTCATTGTGTCCGATCGTTTCTTCCCGAATTGGTTCCTGGGATAAAAAAGGGCGCCATTGTCGTTTCCCTTGTTTGGAATGTTGCTGCCAAGTGGTATTGGAAGAGCTTGTTGTCGCGTTGCCAATCTTGTTGGATGTGCGAATGTGATTAATTTGGGTTTGCAATTCATCTCCAAACAAATATTTCGAAATGGGAACATGCGATGCGCATAAAGTACTAAATTCTCGATGGAGATTGGGACGTATAGCGTCACGTCGTCGTTGAGACAATTCAAAACTTACATGTCCCAGAATCGCTATGATATCAGCGTTCATACGAACAAGATTATCAATATTCAGTTCGCTGCTGTTATTGCGGGCAACCAACAGATCATTGGTGGTTTGTGCTGCTATATGACCGACATTCGTCAGGGCTGATTGAATGGCACTCAATTGTAAATCACGCCCTCTAGCTGTGCGGTCTAATTTTCCCCAAATTTCGGGGTTTACCTTAGGTACAATAAGGCGATCGCAGTTCTTAGGCCTAAAATATTTAGCCTGTTTTTCCTTCAATTGCTCGTCGCTCAGCTTATTCAGCCAACGCTGGTTGATAATTGAGGCGAGCTTCTCGTTGACGATTGGTGAAGTTTTCTCAGTTTCGTCTAGAGTCTGCGAAATCTCTTCCAGCAACGGGTCCACTGCTAGTTGTTCTGCTTCAGAATTGCGCTTGGTCGAAGGTTCTTCGTTTTGTGCCAACAAGACTTCACAAACTGCGTCATGCCCTGATTCAGGGATTAAATCACTTGCTTTCCTCTTACGAGTAGATTCTACTGTAGAGGATACTGACGTTTGTTGCATTAACCTGAGTGATTCACTCATTGCAGTCTTTGCTTCACTCATTCTACAAAAGGCAGCATTCAAATTATTTAAAGTGACTTGCACTTCTTCGCTTTCTTCCATCATGTCATCTTGCTCATCGTGTTCAGCAAAACCCAGAAGTGCTGCTTCATCTCCGACATCATCTCTTGTCATATACTCTTCACTTGTAGAAGCCATAATTTAAAAAAAAAAATTTGTGGTATAATGTGGAAAGGAACTTTTTGTAACTGATCACTGTGAAATCTACGCTCGAACTGATCTTGATATCGCGCGCTCTATCTCACATGACTTCCTAGTGACGTAGAACAGTGGCGAAATAGAATTCTAAAATCACTGCACATAATACTGTGAAGAAGTTTGTATCTAAAATAAAAGCACTAAAGTTCCGCGTGTTTTTTGATAGAAAAATCTTTCCTTTTAAACGTATTCAGTTTGAGGCATGGCGTAAACCAACTTATAATAATGCCATAAAACTCACATAAAGGAAATAATAAATACAAGAATTATAAGACTGTTCAATAAATGACTTTTACCCAATGGCTTCAGTTAGACTATTGTGGCTTTTTGACTATTTTTAATATGAGATTTTTTTGCACCTACCGCATTTCTTTCAATGCATTTCTTTCCAGTCAGCAAAACATTTCATTGAATTTAAATTAATTCATCAGACCAAATAAAATGATTTTTGCAGTTACATACAATAGAGTTTTTGTTTATAAACTTACATCACTTTGATTACGAGAACCAGTCTCATTCCTTGTGCAATTTGTCTGGTTTGTTTGAGTCGAGTTGCACATTTTTCCCAAATCATCAGCATTGGCCATTGGATGTACTTTCATCAAACTTGTAAGAATAAGGAATCCATAGACATAGGAAGGATAGACGTTTTGGAAATGCCTTTTGATTATCATAGTGAGACCCTAGATAATATGGTGCGCTGCTTTTCTTTCACTTTGAATTTGATATTGACAGAGTATGTTCCCCCTAAAATCAAGTAAGCGTTGTGTGTGTTGGAGTTGTTATTTTATCGTCGTGCACGTACAAATTGCTTACAGATTTATTTGGCGTGGGTTTCCGGAAATCTTGTATCATATTGACGGCAATGACTTATACCCAATCCTCTAGATATCTAACTGCCGTTGTCACGGTGAGGCAAATTTTATTCGCGGGCGCCATCTTGAAAGGTGGCAAAAAACATAACACGCAATATACGGTAGTATAGTTTACATGTCAAACTGACTCAAATATATGGTTGAAAAACGTTGAAAGCAATCAATCTTAAAAACAAACACAGGTATAACATCCTCAACTCTAAAACAACGTTCAAGAAGCACATTTTAGCTGCAAAGCGCGTAATTTTCGATTTTTCATGGTCAAATCGTGCGCCGCGTATGGATGTACAAATCGCTTTTCGAAAGAGAGTAACATAGCTTTTCACAAATTTCCCATTGAAAATAAGGACCTCTGTAAAAGATGGGTCATTGCTATGAAACGAGAAAACTTTACCCTTTTAAGAAATTCCATCATTGGTTCCAAGCATGCAAACTGTTTGACTTTCGAAAATGAATCTGCTGGTTCTATTTTTTCATTAAAATGGAATAAAAGAAATGCTCCAGCCTTTGAAGTAGAAGAGATGACACCAAAGGACACACAATATGTCAGTAGTTTAGTTTCTGGATTAGAATCATGTTCACTGTCATCATACAAAGAAGCAATACTTGGATATATTGCTGGGTTTGTTGTAAAAAAGATAATCAATAGAATCACCTGTACTGAATGTGCAAGAGCTCTTTTGCTTAAGTCAAAAATCATCATCAGTTCATGATCATAATTATTCACACTTCCAAACTACTACATCTTTATCTTTAATCAGTTTGAAGAATCGTGGTGGTCTTGTTCTCCCTTCTAATGGTGTGACCAAAATAATATTTGCATCTGAAAGAGCTTTTCAAGTCCTCATTCATGAAACTCGTTTAAAAAAAAACAAAAAATTTCCAGCAGGAGAAACTTGAAGACTATAATGGTTCATCTTATTAACCAAGAGCTTGCAGAAAAGAGCTTGTTTCCTGAACTCAACGAGCATAATGTTGATCACGAAGCAATAACTGAAGATCTACATTCATCACAGCTTATCAAACAGATCATTGAAAAATACATCAATTTACGACTTTCGACCTATGGTAAGCAATATAATAAAGATATCCTCCACAAAAACAAAATTGGTGTTCGCCAGCAATCTACGAAGCTTGTTTTATTTCAAGGAATCTAGTCGACTTCGATGAACATCCACACCACAACCAAGGAAATGTAAATCCTAAAAAAATAATTAATAGTGGTTTATTGTAAATAGTGAAAATAAGCGCATTTTACAACGATGCAGTCATATTGTTAATAGATCTAAAATTATGTTGTTCAGGTAAAATAATTCATATAAACCGTAAACGTTGTGTTCAAATCAAAGTTCTGGATAGCTGTTATGCGATTTTGTCGCTTTTTTCTGTAAATATGTTTTGGTTTACGATAAAAGCATAGAGAACAACAAAGAAGATGTAAATTAATAAATACTCACGATTAGTAGTTCATACTTATGTAACTCTCAGCCTTTAGTTTATGGTCGCAAAATACACGTTAAGACCGCTCTATCTCAAGTATTTAAAAATTTTACACATTTTAACAATATTAAAGAAATTACTCACCATTTTAATGCAACTTCAGTAGAACAGCATCATAAAAACGCTCTCAAAGTCGATTTCTCTCAGCACAGACTTAATGTTTTTATATGCCGCCATTGTGCTTTTGCCACCTTTGCAAATGGCGGCCGCATAGAAATTTGCCTCACTCATTACTATACAAATTTGGCTGAGTCAGGTATCTAGTAGAATGGGTACTAGATCATTGTATTGACGGCATGTTTATAGAAGATCGTTAATATGATAATCGTTTTTAAGAAAAACGGCAAACGTTTTGTCATTTGTCTGTTTATAATACAATCAAATATCTTTGTAGGAGCACTTTTTAAATACAGAAACCTCGTTATTTTAGAAGTTCCAATGTAATTTTGCTTTCACTCGTGGATTTTCTACCACTCTATTCCCTAAATCTTTGTGTACAGATTTTGAAATATTCGGAATTTGTTTTTAATTCAATATTCGACAAGTGTCGTGTTAGTATTTTAAGGAAAGCATGAATAAACTAGAAACAAAAACACATTAGTAAATAAGATTGTGTAACACAAAACGAGTGGTTAAATATACGTGATGCATAATAAAGAGTGTTGAAATTCGTGATTAAATGCATATGGTAATCACAAATTTTAATAATCGCAAAGACTGCCCCACCTTGTCTTTAACGAGTAGGTGTCAAATATTCAATGAGAACATCATACCTTGTTCATTGTTTAATCGAATAGTGAAAATTTTTGCCTTAGGTATGGTATTCTTTGTATTTCATTGACATCCATCTAACGTTTATATTATACATGATGAAAATTCTAATCATCCCTTAAAATTTTTATTATGTAAATATTAATAGAACCATATAGAACTATTTGTAATTTAATATTTTTGATAAAAGTAGGTAAAGATTGAATTGGGTCGCTCAAATCCAGTAACAATTGAAGATGGATTTGTTCTTGAAGATGGAGATGGTTCAGTGTGTCGAATTTTTCATCACGACGAAGACACGTTAAATGTAGATAAGGTCCCTTTAACTGGGAGTTTCATTCGGAGAATCATTTGCATCGCTGAAATAAGATGTTTTACTGCGCATGAGATCAATCACCCTACGCAGTGACCCAGACACATTCACACATTAACTTTAAGGAAAATGAAAGAAAGATTTTAAAGAAATCTGACAATGGCAAAAAATAATGAAAACAACGTCGATGTCTCCTTAGGACAAAACAAAACCAGAGCCAAATATTCAGAGAATGTAACTGTGCATTACAAAATGACTTCATCATCAAAATGAGCACCACTTCACATGCCATGAAAAATATTCGATCTTATCAGTTTGCCTGTGCAGCTGCTTTTTCACGTGTCGAATATGTTTATTTGAGCAGGCGATTTGAAATCAACACTAGAAGCGTCAAATGTAATTCATGCAAGACCTTGAACGTTTCTAAATCAAAATAATTGATTTGGAAGATGAAATAGAATTCAATGCACATGAGCGACAAATGATTGATAAAATTAACAACCTCACAATTTTTCCGCAGAAAGTTAACGAGTGTCACTATAGGCAGTATTCCTTAATAAAAGGTTTAAAACATTAATTTTTTAGTGTTAACTGACGCAAACCTTGCTGATGTTAGGTTTTGTGATGTAGCCATGTTCTTCTTTATTATAATTTGACTTACACCAACAAATGTTACAGATAACTATACGATCACATCTAATGTTCAACGTCTTCTATTTTACAATGATTTAACTACTTCTATTTATACAAAATTTACGTGAGATTATTTTGGGTTCTGATAACAAATATGGTTCATTGACGTCAACGGAAAACTACTAGGAACTATAAAAAATATTGTCTTGATAACATTATAAGTATCTCTTAACATTAGTCATCTAATTACTTACACTTGAATTAATGTTTACTAATCACGGGAAGAATATGAGAGCATATCTTAACAGCTGAAACCTATATAACATTTTTAACTACAATATGACCCCAGTAAAATCAAATGCATTTACCAGCAAGCAAAGCATTCAAATTACTGATGCAAAAATTTCATCCAAATCAGAATGTTGTGATGCATGAGGAAAAGCTTCATCAGTTAAGAGGTAAAATGCTAATGTCAATTTAGACCATAAAACGTTTGAACAAAAATTTGATATCCCATAGAACTAGAAAACATTCATCACATTCACGTTTCTAATTATTTGACACTAAATACAAGTCCTTGCCGATACATTTTGCAACGATCAACAAACCAAGTCCGCACCTGATCACTCTTCAACATGATCAAACAATTTTTGGAAAACAGCTTAGCTTGTATCCTTAAAATATAATTGGATATGCATTGTGTAGCATGGTATCAAACCGCCACTCACATCGAGGTGAGTTGAGAAAAAATCGAAACATCGCTTGCTTTTTTATACGTAGCTAATAGTAATATTGACTAGGACATCATTTTGTAGTGTACAAAATGAGATTTTTTCTCAACAACGATTTTCTTTGACATAACATGTTATATAATAGAATAAAATATTTATAAACACAGGTGTGAATAAATCAACTGAGAATACATTTTATTCGGCATTAATTGCAAGAGGAAATTTCCGTCTGTGCAAATGTATTGACAACGTTTGCCGTAACTGGAGTAGAATTAAGGATTTGTGAAAATTATAAGCAATGTATAGAGAATTGCATGCACATACATAATGGTAAAACTTTTGTCTCTGTTTACAAATCTTTTTAACTAAAATTAGTTTATGTTTTGTGTAATCACTCTCTTACCTGATGTTCTTCTTTCAAGAGTCTTGGCGCACAATGACAAAACACTTTTCTTTTGACATATTAAAACACATTTTGAATAATTATGCAAAGTAACAATAATCTTTTAAAGTGTATGTTTTCACCCCAACAGAGTTTGACAACTTTCTTTTGACTTATGAAATGTATTATACCACGAAATTTATTTTCTGATAAGCCAAATTATCATGTAAATGATGCAAAACACGAGAGATTAATAAGAAAGACGTTGAAAATATCAGTAATCAATGTATAAGATATAGTTGTATAAAATGTCATCAACACTGAAACTAATACAAACAGCCACACCTTTGTACACAAGACGAATAATGCTATTTCTTTAATATTCAATTCTTCAAAATGATTTTAATTAATCTACCATCGTTAGACATAGTGAGTAATGTTAAGTAATTACAATCAGTGTTTCTGACTCTCGTACCTCTGATTCAAAGGCTATTCTTGAATGGTTTCCAATGATTTTGCATACACACCACCGTCATATACGATAACTTATTCCTAATTTAAAGTTTGAGTCCTTAACAGACCAACTCACACGATCGCTAACTACCCTCTAATCCATTCATCCCGAGCTAAATATTGAGGGTTTTCACAATTCTTCACCCTAGTCCTTTTAGGCTTAGCAATTCGTTTGCATCATATGCCGTCATTTTGATCAATGGCAGCTTTTATTGAATAATTCTTCATGAATGACTCTTCTGAAAGACTCTTCAAAAATAAGTTTAATGATTTTGTTCTTCGTGTGTATTTTAGATAAGTCTTTTTTCCCATTTTCCATTACTACTTTCACTCAAACAAGATGATTAGAGATTTTGCAGGGGAGATAATTTAAACATTGTGCATATTTGTCATGGAGACAGTCAAATGTCGATTATAGCAAGATGACATATCATGTAATATTTAATTTATCACACAAAGCGTATTTTGATTTGGAGGTTTTATGAGAAGTACCTTTCACTGGCTTTGCAGGCACAAAGTCTGATCGTATGATATCTGATCAGATTATTGTGTGGTAAGTTGTTATTAACTTGCCTTTACGCAGGTGCTTAGATACTTTGATTGCATCTGTGCCCACGAACTGGTGTCCAGTGTATTATCAAAGTTCATAGTTGAGAATTGAGAATGGTTGAGATAAGATTGTTTGTGTTATTTAAGAATTTTAAGACCAATTTGTGGAGAGTACGTGTGAAATGATCTTTTTCATGACAGCATTCACAAGAAGATTATAAAGATTAGCTGGGTTTTTTTTTAAGGAGTAAGTACGAATTTGTTAGCGTATTTTGTTTTTGTAATTATGTGATGAATTTTGCCGATGCTTCTAAGTCTTAACTCTCGAGCCTCGTGTTCACAAAGCCTTATTTATGTTGCTTCTTAATGTCAAAAATCTTTTCGAAAATTTGTTGTTCCGTTAAAAACGAAATCCCCAGCAAGAAATCCAGTCACATTTGCACAAGAGAAAAAGAAATTTTATTCTTGAATTTAAAATTCAAATATGGCGGTAAAAATATTGCTCCAGGTGTTTTAAGTTCAACGGATATTATAACTTAACCTTGTATATATGTTTAAAGGACATTGGCAACGAAAATTTTTTTTCATAAGTTTATCATAGATAGCTATGGAAGATTTAATTTCGTGTTTTCGTGTCTCTTGAATTTTGCTGTTGAGAAAATTAGACATAAAGTTGAATCCTTATCCGCCATTTTGAAAAAAAGGCCTTATGCTAAATTATGCTGGAATACATTAGGGGGAGGCCCGATTGTTAAGTGTGTCCATTAATTGTTTGATATATTAGTATTTTGCAGGGAAATTGACTTCCATCTTGTGTATCTAAGACTGGGGGTGGTGGTGCATACTTCTCTTCAACCCTGTCCTAAATCCATCCTTGCGTTTTGACGTATCATTAAATTCTTGATAAATGACCAATGATGTCTCAGCCCGGCAGTTCTATTTCATAATGTGGTCAGTCGTCTAGTTATGATGTTTCTTATGTTACATTGCTATTCGTTATGGGCTTATGGCAATCGAAAAGCACTTAAAATACATCATTTAACAACACCTAGTCAAGATAACAGCGTTAAAATAGCAAAGTTCTATCTTTCAATGCAACTTTGTGTTATCATTGTGATCACTAGTCTTTATCCCGCGTGGGCAATTGATAAGCTGATTGTTAAGCAAATTTATTTAAGTCAGTTTTCCATCCAAAATGAATTAAAATTTCACAACATAAAAAGATTGAATGTGGGGCTCAATTTGGACTGCGCGAATGACTTGGTTTATTAAATGTTATCAATTTAAAAAGTATAAAGTCTTATAAATGAAAGAGTTAAGTTGTGAAAGACTGAAAGTTATCAACAAACTAAAAATGTCTAAACATGTTTAAGGCTGGTTTAAATTAAGTCAAACAGGGCGAAGTTGTTTGAAACTTTGTACTATCCTTTGACATTATAGTTTATTCTACGGGTAGGACTCTTGTAAATAAAAGTAGAACTTTGAAAATAGAAAATCCCGTTTTCGTTCTATATCTCCCTATACTCCGGTGTAATGTTTTACACCCAAACTTTCATTTTAAGGATAATGAGAAATATTCCTTTTTGCGCAATAGCGAATTATTGTATTCGAAGACCCATAAACCTTATAACTACTGCACAGAAATTTTTATTTCATATTTTATATTTTAAATGAAACCAAAGTTTAGTGGATTTAGAATATATAGCTCATAATGATAAAGTTGTTAGCTAGTTTGTTTTAAGTAAAAACAGGTGTAAACTGGAGTAAATGCATCAGTAAAATTTAATTATTCAGCAGTTCCGATTTTAATATTAGCTACACTAAAAGCTATGTCAGAAATGAAAGATTTTTAAATATCATTACAAAGTGCGTTTATTATTTCGCGCAAATTTTCTTGTTATTAAGTGATATGCAGAAATGACAGGTGTTCTTTGACAACTTTTCTGAAACTGTTTATGATGTCGAGTTTATGTTTGTGTCGTTTTGTAAAATTGTTTTTGTTATTGGATATTGATAATATATCGTTTTGTTGTACATTGATAATATATTTTTTACCAAAATACTTTTGTCTATAGAACTATACATTAGGATTGATGTGAATTGTGTAAAATTGTTTTTGTTATTGGATATTGATAATATATCGTTTTGTTGTACATTGATAATATATTTTTTACCAAAATACTTTTGTCTATTGAACTATACATTAGGATTGATGTGAATGTGTAAAATTGTTTTGTTATTGGATATTGATAATATATCGTTTTGTTGTACATTGATATATTTTTTACCAAAATACTTTATAGAACTATACATAAGGATTGATGAGAATTGTGTAAATATGTGACTTGTAAAAGATTTTTATTAAGACATTTTTATTTCTTTTATTGTTGAAACCCTGTGAAGACGTTTAAAAGCTCAAAGCTTCGTTCTTAAAGTTTAAAGCACAGTTTCTAATGATACAGGGGTATGGAGGATTGTCATAAATTTGTATTAAGTCATTACAGAATTAGATAACTGGAGCTCAACTCTTCACGTCATTGCTACTGTTGCTGGTACTTCTTTCGCAGGAGAGGGTGGAGAGGTGACAGTACTTCACTTGTGGGAGAAGGGTTGGTGGTGGTGCTTGTACTTCTCTTGCGGGAGAAGGGTTGGTGGTGGTGCTTGTACTTCTCTTGCGGGAGAAGGGTTGGTGGTGGTGCTTGTACTTCTCTTTCGGGAGAGGAGTTGGTTGTGGTGCTTGTACTTCTCTTGCGGGAGGAAGGGTTGATTGTGTTGTACTTCTCTTGCGGGAGATTGGTTGGTGGTGGTGCTTGTACTTCTCCTGCGTTAGAGAGGTTGATGGTGGTGCTTACTTCTCCTCGTTAGAGAGGTTGATGGTGGTGCTTGTACTTCTCCTGCGTTAGAGAGGTTGATGGTGGTGCTTGTACTTCTCCTGCGTTAGAGAGGTTGATGGTGGTGCTTGTACTTCTCCTGCGTTAGAGAGGTTGATGGTGGTGTTTGTACTTCTCCTGCGTTAGAGAGGTTGATGGTGGTGCTTGTACTTCTCCTGCGTTAGAGAGGTTGATGGTGGTGCTTGTACTTCTCCTGCGGGAGAGAGGTCAGTGGTGGTACTTGTATTTCTCTTGCTGGAAAAGGGGTTGTATTGGTGGTACCAATACTTCTCTTACGTGAGAGGAGGGTGGTGCTGCTGCTGATATTTCCCTTGCAGGAAAGGGGATGTTGGTGGTGCATGTACTTCTCTCGCGGGAGAGGGAAGTGGTGGTGCATGTACTTCTCTCGCATGAAAAGTGGTGGTGGTGGTACCAGTACTTCTCTTGTGGAGAGGTGGTTGTGATGCATGTACTTCTCTTGCAAGAAAGGTGGTGGTATTGGTACCGGTACTTCTCTTGCGAGAGAGGTTGGGAAGGTAAAACCTCTTAACTATCTGTATCGTGTGTTTCTTATGTTTTTCTACTATAAATTTAGTATTTTTCAATACAACCATCCGTCTAGAGAACTTTGCTTTTCGATAAAATTTATGTACGTAAATGTCAGTGAATGGCATAGAGTAAAACCACATAAAATATTTTAATCCAGGTATTGCATTATTACGAGGTGGTAGCTATGTTTTTATGTTGCATTCTTTTTTTTTATCTCTCTTTTATGTGTTCATTTTTAAATTAGTACTTACCTTATATAAACTGATTTTCCGATTGGGTCAATTAGATAACAGCGATAAACTCTAATTGTTGAGATTCGGCATTTCTATGGCATCTTTTACTTCACTATACTTTGAACCAATCATAAACCTTGATTTTGTTGTTGCAGTCTATAAATCGACCTGCAGTGTAAACCTTATTTTAAGTCACTCAACTTTAAATGCATTTTTATTTTTATATTTATTACAAAATGGACATTGAGATGATGATGAAATGTAAAAGTATGTTTTATTTTCTATCCTATGTTACAACCTGAGGTTTTACGATGTGTTCCATTATGAAACTTTGCATTCAAAGTGTTTTCTCTTTGTAAGCGGAAATGCTCGAATGACGTCATCGATGAAATTCCTATGCTCATTATTGAATATTGACAGCAATAAATAAAGGTCCTGTTGAACGTACGCTGTGCAAGATTACTACAATGCAAACTCTATGATTGCATAACTGATTTTCTAACTATAGACCTCTATAAAAACTATAACTAATCTTCAGTGCATGTGTCGTCATACATAGCTAACTGTTCTCCCCGTCAATTGTCATTACGTCAACATATTCATCGCTGCTTTGTGAACTTTTTCTTTTTTCTCTTGCTCGTCGATTTTGAAACCATATTTTGATTTTGTTTTCCGGTAACGTCAGCTCCAAACACAAACTACGAACTTCATCACTTGTCAAGTACTTCATTGTTTCAAACTTGTTTTCCAGGGTCGTCAGCTGTTTGGGAGTGAATGGAACTCTGGGATTGCGACCGGGCTTTCGTTTCTGTTTCGGTCGACGTTTACTTGACTCTGAAACAGGATAAGACACAGCGTCGAGACATGGGTAAGTGACAATAAAAAGAATGAGGGGGGGGGGGTATATAGGTTGTACGTTTGTCAGCAGGTTGTGTGATTGGATTAAAAT